GAAGATGGGGTGCATGAAGGGGGCCCAGTAAGAAGACGACAAGGGGTCTGAGAGGACCTCAGTGAGACTTAAGGTTGGTGGCGGAACTACAGAAGTCAAGTTTGACTATAGGATCGTAGCACCAGGTCAGTAGATTCTTTCAGACTTCCAGAGTGGCCCTTCACAGTCAGATGGATTGGACCCATGGATTTGAAGGAGATGATTAGGTTGTTTGAGACTGCCTACGGCACCACTGTCACCACGGAACGGCACACAGTCTGGTCACACAAAATCCCAAAGAGGCTGCTGGCACCCTAAAGGACTTTTCATATCACCAACTAGCTCGCAATTGGGTTTGGTGCCATCAATTTTGTAACACCTCATTCACGATGCCAATTCTACCTAGCGAGGAAAAGAAAAATCACTGCAAAGCTTTCTTGTCATGCAACTGAGACCACAGTGTGCATAACCCACGACGGCAAGGTCTCTTCTAACAAAACCCACAGAGCCCTCCATGCTGATGGTGTGACCACAACGCAACTGAGAGGAGTTCCTGAGTTAATTCCAAATCACCTGCTGATTATCTGAAGTCTACAGAGTTTTTTCTATCAAGATATAAAATTATTTCCATTAAATACTTTAAAATTCTACCTTTAGATAACTAAGTGGAAACCTGACAAAATAAAATAAGCCTAAATAATGTTATCAATACCCCTAGGAATATAAATAAACTACACAGACCTAATCTAATCTGTAACTACATTTAACAGGTGTGTGCCAACAAAATCAGAAAAGTGACTGGGTTGCACTCAAAAACAAAAGTTCCGAGAATGACTTATTAATACATAACACCTGAAATACATTTCTCTAAAAGCAGCAACCAACTGGCTTAATATGTTTTCTTAGAAAACCTAAAGGCTAGGTAAGGCTTGAGCTGTATTTTTGCAAAGCCTAAACATTTGCATGAAAAGTAACAATGTTGAGAATCAATCTTTCTTTTTCTCTGTACCTCACTTTAATTTGAAAGGATTTTAAACTGGCTGAATACTTTTATCTTTGCAAAGACAAGGTCTTTGAAGTGATGTTTTGGCTCTGTGTAGACAAAGTCTCAGTTTCCAAACTTTAATATCAGAGGGGGCCAAAGCCTTTTTGTTTTTAAACAGAATGCAGCTTCTACATTTCAGGTTCATGTTCTGGCATCCTACCAGCAGTCTCTACTACCAGTCTAATTATTAATGAAAGTCTTAGGTACTACACTGATGATTTATTTTGAGGATGCTTGTTCAGTGTGAAATTGCAAAGAGCCATTCTTCTGGTAGAGAGACAGAACACAGGCAGATCAGTTCCCTGGTTTCAAGCAAAAGCACGAAAAGGTGCTCAGTTTTGGCCTCGGTGCCCAAGGTATACACCAAAGAAATCTTGTTACACTTCTGAACACCCTTATGTATAATTTGCATACACCAGGTTTTGAATCAAATGTCCAGAATTATATAGTCACAGAGATTTAGAACTAGACGGACCCCACGAGATTATCCTCACGGAATATGCACATTTTAAAAGAAGAAAACCAAGCCAGAGAGGCAGAGCCCATGAGTGTGTTTCTGGGTCCCTTCGCCTTTCTGAGTCTTGGTTTCCTAGTCCCCACGCAGATCAGAGTAACACCTGGAACCTCACGTCAATGACTCAGGGTCCTCCCAGATCTGACAGCTGCTGAGGCCTTGCCAGAAGATTCTCTCCACGTACCCATGAGAGAAGAAAACAGCATGTGCAGCCTGAACTCAGAACCCCACAAATCTGGGCTCTCACCATTCTCCTCCAAAAAAGAATTTTCCACTTAAAAGGTTTACTCACCATTTTTTGAAGTGCCTCTCTAAGGCTTTTAAATTTTACTTTGGTTTACCCAAAAATAAAATTGTAACACACTTTTCAAAACCACATAACACCATTTTAAACTGTTTGAATTTTTTACTATGGGTATGAGTTAGTTTTTCACTTAAAAAAAAAAAGACAACAAAACTAGTCAATGCAAAAAAAAAAATAGGCCAAGGAAAAAAATTTCAACAGCCCTTCAAAAATAGTGAACACCAAGAAGACAAAGGTTTTGTATCATATTTCCTTACACATCTCCCAGGTAACTAGGCTAGCGCTTTGGTTTTTGTATATATAATTGATGGTACGATTTTGGAATAAATCAATAAAATTTATTTTTTAAAGTAAGATGCATTCATATTTTAATACAGTACTTTAAGCCTGGTGTTTCAATGGCCCAGATACTCTTACATGGAATGATACAGGAAAGTAAAGAACTGCTGATTAATTTTCAGTTGTGTGGAAGAACAACAGAAGCATGCTTGTTCAGATCTCGGAGAACGGTCAAGTGTGACTGCGCCTGCACGCTGGGTGTGCAATGCAACTACTTCCGAGCAGATTTCAAGTGTCTGGTCTTGTATAAGCAGATATGCTGTCGCCTCCTGCCTGCACACCACATCACACACTCATTCCTAGGCAGGAACAAAGAATGTGTCGCAGGAGGCATGTTAATTAACTCAGTGGGCAGGTAGGGCAGCACCAAATACTTCTCAGTGTCTAGGATGGGTCTGAGGGCCAAGGGTTAGCTGTGTGACTGGAATGCTGACCACGCCATTTCAGTCCTGTGTGTGTGAGTGAGCACGTGAGGGTGAGTGCAAGCAAGTGTGAGCACGTATGAGAGAGTGTGCAGCTTCAGTGTTGTGCAGCAGTGTAGACAGATGCAGCAAAGTTCGAAAAAGGGAACGCGATGTATCAGAGTGGTAGACGCTCAAACAGGCTGGCCTGGGTTGGCCTGAGGTTTATTTATCCAACACAGAAAAGCCCAGCCGAAAGGCCCAGTCAATCAAGATGTCTGGCCTTCTGTAGACAAAATATCAATCTAAGGTAATCAAGTGATTTTTGAACCAATGAACAGATGCTTTGGCGTTACAGATAAGACTCCTGCATAACAATCTGTACAAGAAGAAAACTCTGCTTATCATGGAAGCACTCAACCAAAGCTCAAAAGTCCCTCGGATCCCATAATTTCCAGTTGGTTACCCATGCTTCCCTCCTACACACACACACACACACACACACACACACACACACACACACACTCTCTCTCCATCAGTCTCACGTGATTCAGAGAGCAAAGCTGGCAGTTCCCTGGCTCTACTCTGTGGGTGTCTGAAAACCTGTTTAAAGGTAGGAGGTAGGCTGGACCAACTGGCCAGCCTCATTTCTACCTCTGGACCTGGTACCTAACTTGAAAACACCCCTTAACCCCCTGGTTTCTCAGTGGGCACTCCTCTGGCAAATGAAAAAAACAAATTATCACCTGCCATTATTTATCTCCCCTTTAACTCTCTTCCAGACAAGAGCCCTTTTCAAACATTGGGACATATGAGTCGTTTTGATAACCAGCCAACAGAAGCTGCTAATGCACCACTAGAAAGGGCAAATGGAAAGTTGGAGAATAAGTTAAAGCAACTTTGGCTGTGCCCACTATGCGTTGGGATTTCAAAAGCAACTGGGAGGAATGGGATGAGGGACCATCTCTTATTCACTAGGCCTCTAACTGCTGGGCAGGAAGGCAGAGAAGTGTGAGCCACACCTTCAGAGAGAAGCATTTTCCACCTGCCATTCCAGGTGGACCCTCCCCCCTCTAAAGGTGGAGTGCCCATACCTGACAGCAGGTGCAAGATGCCTGGGGCCCTGTGCTGGCCACAAAATAACAGGCTGATGGGGCCATATTTTGCATACATATTTGCCTTCAGATCATCAGCAGAAAGCAGTTTCATGAAAAGAAATGCCTGGTCTTCAAAAATCCAGACTGTGATTTCTGAAATGGGAGTCAGAGAGAAATACGCTTTGGAGTCCAAAATACCTTAGTGAAGGATGTACAGTAGAAATAGAAAGCCTTCACTTGTGGTGGTGAAAGTTATCAAGGTATAATGAATAGTATTTGATATTCAAGTTGAAATCGGAAGGCTACCTACTATAATAAAACGCAGACTTTCCCTCAAGGTAGCACAACAACCCCCTGCACGCTGAAGTAGGAAATTCCCCACGCTCTCTGGAAAAGCTAAGAGAAAGTCCAGACCTTTTCAGAAGTGCTAGCTTCAACTCTTACGTCTTCCGTAAGATACTCTGATCCTCCAAGAGTAAAAACAGCCTTCAACTGCGATTAACCATGTAATAGAAATAAACTGTCTGCTGCCAGAGCAAGAACAAGATGTCAGTGTGATGAACCGAACCAGATTCACATGAAAACATACCTGAAATGTCAACCTAGACCAGCCAACAGTGCATGTCTATTAGGAGGTATCTACTTGAATTGCCTATCACAGGCAATTCAACCTAGTATGATATTCTGATACTAAAGAAACTTGTTAGCTCAAAGCAAGGTTTTCATTTTAGTTCATATATCAGACTGCACCTTAGTTACGCTGACCACACTAAATATTGCAATGACCTGACTTAACTTACTGAGGCCTGGTGGTTCCTCACCCAGTAGATCGGCCACAACCACATCTGCAGGTTTTAGGGCCCTGTCAGAGAATCACATCACTCATTTTCCCAGCCTATTAGTAGAGGCTGAGTTAATTCAATGACATCCCTGTCAGTTTTCCTCAGCCTGAATCAATCACACAATTAAGTGTTTCACCTGATCAGACAAAAGCTACACTCAGCAGCTCTGTTCACTATCTTTGGGGATTAATCACAAAGCTTTTGGTGACACTCACGAACATTATCTTCCAAAGAAGAGTGGTGACCTACAGGAAGTACCTTAAACACTTGTTTCTTAAGATTATATGGCAACAGCAGAAGTGACCTGGATTCACTGTCCAAGCCACAAAGTGCCTGGACAGCACCCCAGCAAACACACCTGGAGAGAATTACTAGTTGTGACTGTCCCAGAGCCCCGGTCAGAGGCTTCATGACTCAACAGAAAGTAAGAAAAAGGGGACACATGGGGGATCCAAGGTCTGCTGAAAGCAGCATGAGCTCTAGAAAAATCTCAGGGCAAGACTTACCACCCTGGGCTTCTGCTGGTCCAGGGTATGTAGGAAGGCTGAGTTGGGGTCCAGGGTACGCTCGGGGTCACTGGAGATGTCCTCTTCCGAGTCCTCATAGGATGAGGAGAAGCCCGTGGAGGAGGCCGAGGAAGAGGACAGTTTCCGCAGGGGCAGGCTGCCCAGAGGGCTTCCCTGCACCTCCTCCAGGCCGCTGTGCTCCTGCGCGCCCACGTCTGTGATGATGACGGCGGGTATGGTGCTGGGGCTGCAGGCCTCTCTCAGGACAGGCTTGTCTTTCTGATCCGGGGGCAGCAGCTTCAGCGTGCGGCGGGTGTCTGTGTCCTGCCGCTGGCTTTCCCAAGTCCCCTCCGACTGTACCCCTGTGCCACGCGTCCAGGCCAAACCTGCTTCCTCCGTGGGGCCCTGCCAAGCCCGGGAGCCCCCAGGCTGCGCACCCAACCTGCCTCCAGGAAGGTACTGAGGTTCTTGCAGATCTTTTGCCGCTTCCCAACAAGGCAAAGGCTCCAGCATCCTGCCAGAAGGAATTCCCGCCTTCAGCTCCCTAGTCCCCAGCTGTGCTGATCGGCTGCCCCCAAGCAAGCCCAGCGTTGGAGACCCTTCCTCCGCTCTGTCCGAGGGCTGCCGAGGGCTTCCGCCCACCAGAGCCCCACTTCGGGCTTCCCCGGGGCCTACTGCGCCCAAGTCTCTGGGCGGCCTGGACCAGCTCAGGGCATCAAAGGGCTCCGAGCTCTGCGCACTGAGCGTTGTGTCCCGTGGCTTTTCACCCGCTTCGGGCGTCCTGGAGGTCCGCACACCACAGGGCAGATTTCCTTTCCCCATCTTCCCAGGGGGCTCTCCACCACGCGGCCCGCCCCTCTCTGGGGCTGGGCTCGTCTCACTGTCCAGAAACTGCTCCTGCCTCACCACCGGGGCCTCCCAGGGGTGCGGATCCTCAGGCTTGCAAGCCCTCGCAGACCGCTCAATAAGGGCAGGATCCTGTGGACGGTGTGTCCCAGTGGATGTGGCTCCTGCTGCCACTTCTGTGTCCATCACTAAGCTAGCTCCGACCAGCCCCAATGAGGGAGCTTGGCAGCTCTGAGTTCCCGAAAGAGAGACCCTTTTGTCAGTTTCCATAGCTGTGGGGGAGCCACAGGGAGGACTAGCAGGAACGCCCTTCTCCATCCTCACCAAAGCGGCTGGCCCCTGAGTCCCTGATCCTGCCGGGGCATCCCGGCCGGGAAGAGGTGCCACTCCCTCCTTCTTCTGCGAGGGACATAGGCTGGGCCCTTCTCTCCTCCCAGAGTCAGCCTTTGAGGTCTCCGGACATTGCTCCCCCCAGGACTTTGTCCTCCGTTCCTCGCTCCGGGAGCACTGAGCCAGGACCTTTCCAGGGGGCTGGCTGCTGCTGCGGAAGGGACACGGGGAGGGCGAGCGAGCCCTCCCCAAACGCGGGCTGCGGGGCGCTTGAATGGCGGAGCTCTGCGCCTGGATGTGCGCCTCGAACATGCCCACTTTCTGGTTCACCTGCACATTCTGCAACTCACGCTGCAGAATCCGCAGCTTCCTCTGGGCCTCCTCTGGGCCCGGCGGGGAGAGAGTACCGGCGGCCACCACCTGCTGCCTGTCCCCTCGCAGGCGGCCAGCCCAACTCGGGCTACCCACGCTGCTGCTGCTGCTGCCGCCGCTGCCGCTGCTGCTATTCAGCCTGCGCCGGCTGCTCCGCCAGCCCCCGGGGCTCTGGGGGTCCTCGGGGGACGGCGACTCGGCTGGGGGGAAGAGGAAAGAAACGCCTCTCCCGGGGCTGAAAACGCTGCCGGGGCTGAGCACTGCGCTCCCCGGGGGCGGGGGCGTCTCGCTGCCGCTGGGCCCGGGGCCGCCGCTGCTCTTCGCCTCGTCGGCGCTGTTCATGATCACCAGGCTATTGAGCGCATAGCAGTACACAGCCATAGTACTGGGTCCGCCGCGCTGCCCTCCGCCGCGGCTCCCGCTCCGACTGCGCCCGCGCCTCCTCGTCCCGCGGCTCCCGGCTCAGCCCCGGAGGTCTGGCCGCCGCGGCTCCGCGCGCCGACGGGGCGGCATGGCTGGGGAGGCGGGCGGGGGACACGACCGCGGGCTCAGCCCCCGCCCAGAGCTCCATAAACAGCCGAGCCGCTGTGGAGACACAAGGAGAAAAGTCAGGACCCCGAGGGCGCGGGCGCGGCGGGGGGAGGCTAGGGGGCCGCGGGTAGAGCCCAGAGGCAGTCTCGGGAACGCAGTCTGCCTGGGACCCGGCGCCGCTGGACGTGTCACCTGCAGGGCTGTGAGGCTCCAGGACACATGCCGCGGCTGCCTCAGTCGCCAGCGCGGTCATAGGTGTCCTCCACACCCCTCCCCATTCCCGCCCCAGGTTGTGATGCGCTCTGGGGTCCCTTCAAATTCCAAATTGTAAGACTCGCCTCCGGAGCCACGCGGGCGCGCGAGGGCAGATGTGTAACTACTGGTCCCTAAGTATCCTGTGCGGGGCGCGGCTGACTCCCGCCTCCCCCAGGGTGAGGACGCTCCCGCCACCGTCTCCGGGTCTCCTCGGCCTGGGCAAACACTGGCTGTGGAGGGTAACAGGGCAGCCTCCGCCTGGACTAAAGGGTCTCCATGCTCCGCGCTCTCTGGGCATCAGAGACCGACTCGGAGGGACCGGAGCTGGCCCTGCCTTCCCCGAACCGCCGCCAGCGCCCGCCGTTACCTTCCCGACCCTGGCCTTGGGGCTGCGTCTCTCGGCCTACGAAGGCCTGAGCGGTCGGCGGGGCCGCGGCCGAAGCATTTTTCAGCACTGGCCTTGTCGCCTGTCCCTAAATAAGTGTGTGTTGTAAGTGTGGGCGCGCCTGCGCGTGCCCGGGGCCGAGGTTCTGCACGGCCCCTGTACCGGAACCAATACTCACCGCCCCCTGCCGTCGCCCCCCACGGAGGGAGGGGTGCGTGTGTGTGTGTGTGTGTGTGTGTGTGTGTGTGTGCACGCGCGCGCAGCGAGTCAGTCCTGTCACCGAGGACGCCGGCGCCCCTGCGGACTCCGGGACCCGCGCCCACTCGGAGGAACTTGGGGCGTGCATAGCTACGCCTGGCGGCGGCCCTGGCCGCGCACGGCCTGGGGCTCTGCAAAGCCCCCCGCGCCGGCGCTCCGAGCCCCCCACCGCGGCGCGGCCGAGCGCTGGACTCCTCCGCATCCCCGGCAGCTTCGCGCGGCGCCAGCCCAGCCCCCCGGCGGCCCGAGCCCGCTGACTGCCGGAGCGCGCCGGGGGAGGCGACGCGGCGCGAGCGGCCCGGAAGCCGGGCTGGAGAAGTGCCGAGAGCTCCTCTCTCCTGTCCCCACCGCCACTCCACGCCACCCTCCAAAATCAAATCCTCTCCTCTCCGTCTCCCCAGCCTACTCCTTTGCGCTGTTTCAGAACCTGGAACGCCCGGATTCGCTCCCGAGCCGAGAGACGGGGGAAAGGGGGTGCAGAGGCAGGACTAGGAAAAAGCCGCCCAGCTTACCTGCAATTCCTCGGATTCCCGGATCCTGTGCACACTACGTGCCCAGAGACGCAGACCTTGTAGGGACGAGATGGCTTTGAAAAAATGCCCAGAAATAATTTCCGCAGCAAGCTATGGGAGACAGAAAAGGCGGAGCGCAAAAGGGGGAAAAGCCCCCGGTGCAGGGGCCCAGCGATCCGGACCGTGGCGACGCCAAGCCGGCTCTGCACGCTCTTCTCGGCGCTGGAGACACTACCCCTGTCAGTGTCTGCTCCGGGCTACTTCAGTGTTTGTTCAATGTACGATTGAAAAAGAAAAAAATAGTTGGGGGGGGTGGAGGAGGGAGGAGGTAGAAAGGCGGAGGCTCGGGGGGGTGGGGGAGAGGAAAGCAGGAAGGAAGTTGTGAGCCTGTCTGGGGTTGAACTCAGCGGAACAAGTTTTTCTTTTTCTTTTTTTTTTTTTTTTTTCTATTGCTTGGCAAGACCGAGGGAGGGAAACACTTAAAAAAAAGTTTCCATTGTTAGCGAGCAAAAAAAAAAAAAAAAACGCCTTTTAACTTCTGCGGTTTAAAGATATACAATTCATTTTCCACCCCTCGATCGAGGCTTGCTGATGTCTAGCTTTATGAAACTATTTTTGAAAAAAAATGTTTTTAATAAAGTTTTGAGTATGTGTTTTAAACAAATCATGGGGACCTTTTCAGCATTTAAAGCAGGCTAAAATCCTGTATAAACGGTTTGTCTTCTTGTACACAATTATGCAAATTCAAAGAAGGTACATTGTGGGCACCTCCTTGCAAAGTTGAAGATTTTAAGTGCATCACAGTTTGGAAGACTGGTTGGGCTATGACCTGCAGATGGTTTTGCAGTGCAATTGCTAGATGCATAAATACACCTTTACGTTGCACATTTATAAATGCACACAGCAAATGTGATATTTGCATATTTTTGCACTTAATTCTCAAAGTTACTTTAAGAAAAAGTATAGTCTTGGAACTAAGATCTGAGCAATGTCTGAAACCCCCTTGCTCCTATAGACTCCTGTAGACTGTCTCCTGCAGACGCAATAATTTTCAAAAGCCTTTCTCCCCTACCATCAGCAAAAAAAGGGGGGAAGGAGCATTACTGGCCAGGGGATCCTATCTCATTTAAGCCCTTGGCATTGCCAGTGTGTTTTGCATAATTTCCTAAATCTTAAACTACAGCATTTTAGTGGAAAGGGGGGAACACAGCTGTAAGACTCAGGAGATTTAAAAATCCACAATCTGAATCAGTCCTTAAATCCTAACTAGCTAAATTTCAGATGAAAATTTTGACTACGCTTGTAGCAAATATCTCCTGCTTGTTTATGTAACAATACTGTTAAGTGAGCAAAGCAACGTGCTGCTCAATCAGGAAAAGACTCATGCTAAATCTGAAATCAAGAGCTCTTCTAGCCAAGAATTCCTGAGAATCAGACGGTTGAATCTTTTCTAAGTTTTTAAAATATGCAATGGAAGGATTGAACCTAATTCCCCTGCCACCCCCAATGGGGCTAAATGAAAATAGCCCAGGGTTCTCAGGTGTTGACTCGAGATCTGAGCAGCTCCTAAGGAAGAGAAGCCAGCCCTATCCTTGCCCCTAATTTGCTTCCCTAGTGGCAAGAATGAGGAGCTGTCAGTTCCCAGAACCATTCCTCGGAGTTTATGGCTGAGGGGCCACCATTCTAGGAGAGCCAACACTCATTTCAGGTGTCAAGGTGGAAGCAACTGAAGGACCCAGCAATGCATACATTAAGCACAGAAACTTAGCTTCCTAAGCCCTGAGAAACCTCACTGTCACCTCAAGGCCAGACATCATCAGCCTTCCCTCAATTGAGAGACTTAGACTTCCTGGATATGCAGGCAGCCTGAAGAATTCTCACTCAGAAGGCAGCCAGCAGCTATCAGGTGTGACATGCAGAAGGGAGTCCTACCTTGGGCTGGAGGTAGGAATAGACGATAATTCTACTAGTCTAAAATTCTAACTGTGCCACTAAGAGCAGCAGAGGGTGGGGAAAATATGGAGTAGAATCCACATCTCGAAACCGGCAAGATGGGCTTCTTGCCTCTGGAAGCAGTATTTAGTTGTCTTCCATGATTTTAAATGAACATGAGAAAAATACGGTATACAGTACTTATTATTTGCCAGACACTGTTCTAGACACATTATAAACATTTATACATTTTTATCCTCGTGAGAACCTTATGAAACTGTTGTTATTACTGGTCCCATTTTACCGATGAAGAAATTAAAGGACAAAGAAGTGAGTAATTTGCCCCTAAATCCCACAGCTGATAAGTACAAACCCAGGATTTGAACCTATGTAGTCAGGGTCTAGAATCCATGCTTGTCACTACTTCTCCATATTCCTTACTAGTTACCTAAACTGTAAGGAAGTTTTGCCTAACTTTGCAGAGTCCCCATTTGCCTACTTTTGAAATGGAATTTTAAAAATCAAAGCTATGAAACTTAGAAGGAAGGAAACTTCCTCAACTTGGTAGAAAGCATCTGTGAAAAACCTACAGCTAACATCACACCTAATGATGGAGTACCGAACACCTGTCCCCCAAAATCAGGAACAAAGTTACGATGTCAGCTCTTGCCATTTTTATTCAGCGTTGTACTTGAAGTCCTAGCCAGTGCAATTAGACGAGAAAAAGAAATAAAAGATATCCAAATTGGAAAAGAAGAAGTAAAACTATCTTTATTTAGATTATATGATTGTCTGTGTGGAAAATCCTATGGAATCTACAAAAAAACTACTAGAACTAATAAGTGAGTTCAGTACATGTATTAGTTTTTCAGGGCTGCCATAAGAAAGTCCCACAGACTGGTTGGCTTAGACAGCAGAGATTTATCTTCTCGCAGTTCTGGAGGCTGGAAGTCTGAGATCAAGGTGTTGGCAGGATTGGTTTCTTCTGAGGCCTCTCCCCTTGGCTTGTAGTTGGCCACCTTCTCCTGTGTCTTATTTGCACAGTCTTCCTTCTGCACATGTCTATGTCCTCATCTCCTCTTCTTGTAAGGACACCAGTCTTGGTGATTAGGGCCCACCCCAATGACCTCATTTAACCTTAATTACCTTTTTAAAGATCCTGTGTCCAAATACAGTCACATTCTGAAGTTAGGACTTCAACATATAAAGTTGGGGGGAGTGGAGGAATACAATTCAGCCCATAACAACAAGGTTACAGGATACAAGATCAATATACCAAAATCAGTTGTGTTTATATCTACTAGCAATGAACAATCAGAAATCAGAATTTAAAAAATAATAATAATACCTTTATAATAACATCAAAAACTATGAAATACTTAGGGATGAACATGGTAAAACATGTGCAAGACCTGTAGAGAGAAAACTACAAAACACTACTGGAAAAGAAATTAAACAAGATCTAAATAAATAGACAGATACACCATGCTCATGAATTGGAGGCTCAGTATTGTTAAGATGCCAATTCTCTCCAAAATTTATCCATAGATTCAATGTAATCACAACCAATATCACCAGAGGTTTTTAATTTTATTTTTATTTTGTTTATTTTATTTCCTAAACTTAATAGGGAAATGCAAAGGATCTAGAATAGCCAAAACAACTTTGAAAAAGAACAAAGTGGAAGGACGAACACTATCTCATGTCAA